CGCGAGCTTCGCGAATCGAGAAAAAGATCGAACGAGTATCACTGGATATTTGGTATTATTAGCTGGAACATGCATTTCGTGGTGCAGTTGCAAACAGAATTGTGTTGCGCTGTCTACTGCAGAATCAGAGCTAATTGCTCTTAATGAGGGATCCAAGGAAAGTGAATGGCTTTGGCATCTTTTAGCCGAGATGGGGTTTAAATTAAAGGCACCAATACAGGTTTGGTGCGACAGTAAATCAGCTATTAGTGTTGTCCAGAATCCTGGCAATCACAAAGCTACAAAGCACATTGAAACGAGGTATTTGTACACAAGGGATTTAGTGGACAAAAAACGTATCAAAATTAAGTACTGCAATACGAAAGAAATGCTAGCAGACCTACTGACAAAGGCATTACCGGTGGGGCAATTTGAGTTACTAAGGGAAAGGATGGGCATACACGACTTGAGTTTATTGGTATCGCAGAACACTGAGTGGGAGTGTTAGACATGAGCTATCAGGATACAAAACTTGTTCCCCTGGCAAGTGTCAGAATATATCACGCATGCGAAGTGTCTCCATATGTTGCTCGAAGTCAAGAGGCTCTACCACTTGCACAATCAAACTGTAGAGGGAATGTATGGTGGTAGGAACATTGAGGCAGTGTTATGCGATATGAAGACCAAGGCTTATGTCAGGTCTTCATAGTTTATGTTTTGTGTGGTTGTGTGTGCTGCTGGGCAAGGGGTTTCGGGGTGAGGTAGGATGTAGCGCGGAGACCGCTGAGGAGTCAAAAGGACTGCGTTTGGACTTGGCGTAAGCACAAGTCTCACTTAAGTGACCACGAAGGTGCTTGGCCTTCAAGAGCATAAGCTCGGGGTTTGTTTTTGTCATGTGTTCAAAAGCATCAATGCCAGGATGACCGAGACGGCGGTGCCAAAGGCGCGCAAGACTAGTTGCTGAGAGTTTGGAGTCAGCTACGAGGCTAGTGAGGCAATCGGTTGGAACATGAGTGGCATCATAGACACGGGTGGTAGTTGGTGTGCCAAGCATTGCATGGGCAACACTCAAGTAGACAGAGTCTGTAGTGAGAGGAGGCGGTGGAGGGGACTTGGGGACCATAGATGGTCGATGGGTGATAGGCGCATAGCGCAACACCGACGAGTAAGCAAACATATGCAATTGATCGTTAAAAGTGGAAAATCCACTGTATTTCGTCGAAAAGGTTCGCAGAGCGGTTTCGAACGAGGCCATCATGGCACGGAAACGGGTCAAGTCCGAAATGTGGAGAGACTCCCCATGGTGTGGATCAATGGGCACGACCTTGGGTTGGGAAGGGAACGAGTAGAGGCCCATGGCATTGTTGGGTGCATTAAGCACGTCTCCAAAGGAGGTGGTGATCTCACACACGTCACGAGCCGGAAACCGGACTGTGATGTCGTCATCCGACGCCTGGCGGACGGAGAACCGGTTGAACTGTAGTTCGGAGCAATGTTGGCCAAAATTGAGGCGCAAAGTGCATGGACGGATGTCATCGACGTCGCTGCGGGCAGCCAAGAAGGCACTGGGTGGGAACAGTGGAAGATCCACTTTGGTCGGTTTCGCAGGGATTTGGAATAACGGGCGTGGTGGGTAGAGGTGTAGACGGTCGGTAACAAGGACCTCGTTAGACGGGACTTCAGCGAAGTCGAGATCACCGGCGTCAACGGGAGACCCGTAGTTGGCTGGCAATGAGGCCGGTTCGACGGTAACTGGCGCCAGTGGCAGAGCCGAAGCAGGCGCAAGAGTCGAAGGTAGTGGAGGGCGCGGCGGCGATGCAAATACGTCGAACAGTGGGGCAGAGCCCGTAGTAAAAACTTTTGGTAGCACGCTAGGCGGTTGAGGCTTTTCGAGGACACGGTTGAGGGAGGATGGTATGATGGTGTAGTTGGCAGCAGCCTGAGGACGACCGCATCCAAGGTCACGGTTGACTGCATCATAAGCAGCGTTGCCGGCGTCACGGTCATAACGACCAGAGCCGTGGTTGTCACGGCCAGTACGATCACGTCTGCGGTCTCGACCACCAGAGCCACCCCCGTTGCCACGGTCATCACGTCCATATCCACAGTGGCCACTGTTATCACGACCACCACGGTTACGATCATCACGACCTGGGCCACCACGGCCACTGAAACCACCCTGGCCACTTGGCCCTCCGCGACCATCGCGGTCGTCACGACGTCGATGGGTAGGGCGCGGCGAATAGTCGACGTTTGCGTTTGCGCTTCTTGGCGGAGGCAGAGCCGTTTTTGTCAAAGACTGTGCGGTCAAAGCCAGCACGCATGGTGTTGCGGTCAATGTCCGACTTGAGAGTCGGGCACACGGGGAGGGTGTGGTTAGCAACGCCACAGTAGAAGCAGGACTTGCCGGGGATTTTGACGCAGTCATGATGGGCATAGGCCGGGATGGTGAACGCGTTAAGGACATGGTAGGAGCCATCAGGCTGGCTGATAACTGTGGGAGGAGGCGCAGGGACCGCGACAGCATGCGTGACCGCGGCAAATTGAGAACGAGACTGGATGGTGGCGACAGAGCCGTGGTCACCCAGGGCAGAGGCGCGTTGAAGCCGATTCGTAAGAATACGACGGAGGGACACCCAAACGTCATCAACAACAACGGGGGTACCGGCGGCTCGCGCAGTGGAGACATAGTTCGTTACGACTTCCCAGAGCTCCTTGTCGTTGATAAAGGTGCCAGACATGGCACACAGAGTGTGGTAGTTCCAGATGTGGGTGTCGTAGTCGATAGACGAGATGACCGACGCGTCCAAAAGGTTGAAGGAGGGCGGGGTCATCGACACGCGGTAACGCTTGACGAGGTCAGTGAGCTCAACAGCCAGAGTGTCGATACAACTCTCTTCCGTGAACTTGAAAGTTCGGAGGTGGTTGGCAATGACGGTGGGGTTTTGTCCATGGGGTTAGATTCGAAACGAACCTTAAGAAGCTCAAAGAGCGAGTAGGGACACACCGTCGTCTGGTTGAGGCGGCGAAGGTTAACTGAGATGGCAGACACTAAGAATGTGTGCGCGGCAGAGCACTGAGCTGCGAGCTTCTTGCCCGCCTCAACGTTGATCGCTTTGACCTGAATGGCTGCTGTGTGCGCTTTGATTTCCGCCAAACGCAAATTACGATCATACTCAGATAAGGAAATATCCACAACATAAAATTCCCAGTTGTCGATCTCATCGAGTTCGAGGTAGGTCTTGCTGACCTTGAGAGCTTCGAGCCGGTTGCCACGAGGAACATGGTTGGGCTCGACGTAGAACCCGCCAGATCACGTGTCGTCGCCTGGGACAAGAAGTCCGTTTTCCACAGAGTGTAGGCCAGAGGCCGCGACTCATCGAGTGGTGTGCCAACGAAGGGCTGCGCAGAGGTGGGAAGGAGGCTCATAACCTGTCAAGAGGACGAGGAAAGAGGTAGCACTGAGGAACACAAAGAACACTTGTGTGGTCGGGGGTCAAAACTGAAAGTGAGGATTAACCGACTGCTTACAGCCAACCAAACGGAACACCGGATAATATCCTTATCCGGTGTTTTGTGCCGTCGGAGATTGTAGCTGAATTAATGTGTTGTGATCAGGGCACAAAATCCGGATACAATCCGGATGTGCCAAAGAGGCCAAAGAAGACAGGCCAAAGTGCCCCTTCTTGACATGCCGCAAGAAG